ATTGCAGCATTAAAAAAAAAACCTTTTAATAAAATTTCACCAATAAAAAACAATTAAATGGCTATAGAGGGGTTTTCCAAGATTAACAATAAATACTAATTCCTTTGACATTTTCACAAATTAAAACGTTACTACTAACAAAACCTTCGACCTTCTTTTTTTAAACGATGGTCTTCTAACTTATCATTTTTTTACTTATTTACATACAAAATGTTTTTCAAAATAAATGAATAGGCAAGTGAAAATAATATATAAAGGAAATATTTTCTTTTGTCAAAAAATATAGAAGAATGTAAACATAACAAATTATAAGAAGTAAAATATCACAAAAAAGGAAGAAGATGAATGAAAGTCAAGAAACCATCGTTAAGTTATTTTATCTACAAAATCCAAATCTATTTTTTAAAATGAAAGTCAATTCTCTCTCTCTTTCTATGAAACCACAAAAGGAACAAGATCTTGACGTAAATATTATGGGATTAGATAGTTATACACACAAANACATTATATAGTGCTATTTTCTTTAAAAAAATCAAGAGTCTTTTAGCAAAATAAAAATCAAGAATCATTATAATGTTTTTGTAAAAGAATTATAGATAATTTACCTTTTCTATATTGTTCTTGAAGAGTGTAGACAAACATCAAGTTAAGCAAGCTATAAGAAGTTAGCCTGGAGTATAAAGAAGCTCAAGTTTATGTAAGCTTCAAGGAAGGCAAATCACTAGCTGGAAATTGAAGAACAAGCTGTGTTACAGAGACTCTTTTTCATTGAGAGGATTTTCTAGATGAGATCCACTAGTTAGATCAGAGATTTTCTAGGATGCTGACACGTGTACAATGCGGTATTATAAGTCTTTTAGATCAGCTTCTTTCTTCTTTAGTCTGTTGAGAGTTGAAAGAGATAAGGAGTGAGATTGTAAAGAGAGAGTAAGCGAGGACGATCTGTTACGGCGAGTTTTGCCGATTAACTAGTGGATCTCGGTGAGGTTATCACCGGCGAGTTTGGGGTCGGCACTAAGCCCCAGGCTCGAGTGACTGTGTCATTTTTTCTGCTCAAGCGATCTTAATTCTTTACAAACGATTAGTTTAGGTTCGGATCGAATCGAAATTCCGATCAAGTCAGAGATCGGAGCTAGTCGAAGGGCGATTCAATTCTCACAATTCTATTTTCTATACGTCTAAGATTTTTAGTTGAAAATTTAGTATCATAAAACTAAAAAAGAAAAAAACAATAAGAGCGATGTGAAAAAGGATACTTAAATATTAAAATTCAACGTATATATTTCCAAAGTAATTTGTATGCTATTATTTTAAGAGTTACATGATTAAACATAATTGTATATATATATGTAGAGAATGATTTGCTCACAATTAGTTATGTTGAAAATGAGAAAATAAAATATTTATACCCATTTTAGTTAGTGAAATGAAATTTCATTGTATGTAACTATGTTTTCTTCTAAATTTTGTAGAATTATATTTTTTTCTTTATTTTAATATTAAATATATTGTTTTGTCTATTATCTTTATAAATATCTAAAAGTATTCTCGAAAACTTGACCAGACTTGTTGCCATGTCATTTTCCTTTCAAGCACAGAAATAACGACTGAAGTTACTTCCTCCAAACTAACTCTTTTGGTTTTTTTTTTGGCTGCGTCTATCTCTGAGGGTAATTGATATCTATGTATCCACTGTTATTGCAAATGACACTCCTAGGTCACCGGTTCGAGTTGCTGGTTCAGAACAAACGGGAACACTGTGCATTAGATTGGTGCCACTAGAGGAGGAAAACGGAACACGTTCAATGGTTCATAGCTTGGTCTTGTCTTGAAACAATGGGTCTTAGCTCATCAATGGGTCTTAGCTCATTCATCGGCTAACAACCTACATAGACAATATGATTATTTGAGTTAATCGTGAGTAATAAATCATTTAAGAAGACAAAAAACAATTTTCCCAAATGAAGAAAAGAGAGAAAAAACTCACTTGGGTAGATCTAGGCAGGTCGTTTTGTGTTTTCATTTGCACCTTCTATATAAGAAGGGAAAATCACCATTAGCTTATCATAATCAAGTATTCTCAACCCTCTTTTTTATTAATTGTTTTCAGAGTTCTTTATCGAAAAACATAACCATGACCGGTGGTGACAAGGTACCTTTCCTCCCAAACATTAAATCGGCTCAAGTCCCGGTTATGAGAGAGTTCACGCACCCGCCACAGACCGTCGCGATGCCCTCGAGCTCCTTAATGCCGACGTTAAGTATCTCCAAAGAGTCACCAAGAATCAACATCACAATGACGAAAAGGCCAAAGTGGAGAAGCCCGCAAAAGAAGATGAGAAAACGGCGAATTGATAAGTCGTACGTACACATATTATGATAAGTATTTACAAATAAGAACAATGCTCTTTTCTTTTTATTTGTTATTAAACATATATAGGAATCACTGATCACATTGTTGAACAATGTTATTTACAAATAAGATCAGTGTCTTTTCTTTTTATTTGTTATTAAACATATATGTAAGTCGTTCACATTGTTGAACAATGTTATTTACAAATAAGATCAATGTTATTTTTTTTTTTTGTTATTAAACATAATCATTTACATTGTTAAATAATGTTATTTACAAATAAGATGTGTTATTTTATTTTTCTTTGTTTTTTTTAAACATATTTATGAATCATTCACATTGTTGAACAATGTTATTAATTAAACAAGTTATATGAACATCGTTACTAAATAAACAAGTTATATTATCAAATTATAGAAAAAGAATACTGCACTTTTCTTCTGTTTTTTTTACCTTAAAATGTATTGAAAAAAATGAACAAGGAAACACGTGAGACCACAGAAGCTGCATATTTATATAAAATATTAATCTACTTATGTGCAAAGTAAAAGATTGAACTACATGAGAAAAGGAAACACGTACACATTGACTCATATCCAACCTTGTGGAAATGAGACCCACGGAATCTTTATTTGCGTACGGACGCACGATTGTGAGTTTGGTGAATTAACCCATAGCCCGTGCGTTGTGAGTTTTATAGTTTTATTTCATCAGTTATGCTAGAGAACTATTTTCCCTCAAGCAACATTTCATCAGTTATGCTAGAAAAGCAAACCGCGTAAGTTACATGACTAAGTTGCTATTTTCGGAAGTAATGATGACTAGTTGAGTGGAATAAAC